TATCTCCAGGCGAGGTTTGGTTCCCGGGCAATGGACGAAACGGAGGATGCCGGCAACGCAAAGAAAAAGCCAAGGGGTTGGTACTGTACCTGAAAGGGTTGGGACACAAGAAATGGGAGATACTGGCAACACAAGAAAAAAGTGCGGGGTGGTAGAGGCTGCCCTGAAGGGTTTGGGTGGGGGACAATGCCTCATCCGCACTGAGCCTTTCCGCGTTTCAGGCCTACCGCTCCGAGCTGGCTGAGTTCATCGAGCTGGTGCGGGCTGGCCGCGGCAGCGAGACTTCGGTGCATTTTGCCAAGGGATGTTAGGGCTGTAGCTTTTTGTTAACTAGTGACCTCAAAGTTCTTCGCTTTTCGCAGGGCTTCGCATTTCAGCCAGAACGCCACCGAGGAGATGCATCGCCTGGAGCAGCAGGAGATGCTGCGGCACCCCAACGTGGTGCGCGCCACGCTGGCCGCGGAGCTCTCCTGGAAGCTGGGGGCCTCCGTGGAGTTGGCGCAGCTGGAGTCGCAGGCGGTGGAGCTGGCGGCGTCCTCGGGGTCCAGCGAGCTGGAGGAGGTGGATTTGGACAGGGACCTGGCTCCCAAGCCCTTCGCGGCGCAGAACATGTTCGGAGACGGGTACCGGAACTATGAGAACTCCAGCCGCCAAGACAAGGTGGGGGGAGCAACTTTTTTTGAGACCCCCTCAAAAAACAACAACAAAACAACAACAAAGAAACAGAACTGGTGGGTCTTCCTTTGGTCTCTCCTTGCAGAACCACAAAAAAAACTGGGTGCCCTCAAAGCACATTCCCAGGTGGCGCAGACCTACAACCTTATGCACACCAAGCAGACCGTGGCCTTTGGGAAGGAGCAGCGGGAGAAGTGGCTGAAGTTCAACAAGGGGGAGTTCACGGTGACTCGCTTGCAACGGCTCATGGGGCGCGGATTTGGCTGCGGGTCAAAACTCCTGGTACCTATGGTGAACATGAAAATAGGTGGCAAATGGATGTTCATCCACCCCAAAATGGAGCCATAGGTTATTCCCCAGGGCCATTTGACCTTTTACTTGCTGGCGCGATAGGTAGGGAAGTCGACCGTTCTGGGTTGTTGGAAAATTTAGCGGATTCCCTTGAAAAAAACCCACAGATGGTTCTTCTTGGGGTCATTCCATTTCTCATTCCATTTCTCATTCCATTTCTCATTCCATTTCTCATTCCATTTCTCATTCCATTTCTCATTCCATTTCTCATTCCATTTCTCATTCCATTTCTCATTCCATTTCTCATTCCATTTCTCATTCCCTCATCAAACCGGCAAGTTGAGTTTCCCCTTCCACTTTCAGTCACCTAAGGCGATCACCAAGGGCATTTCTGGGTCGCAGCTAAGGTGATGGAGGTGATTTCCATGCTGGACGAGCTGGTGGATGACTCCGACCCCGACGTGGACCTCCCCAACAGCATCCACGACTTCCAGACCGCCGAGCGCATCCGAGAGCAATGGCCAGGTGAGGAGTATGACTGGTTCCACCTCGTCGGCCTGCTGCACGACTTGGGGAAGGTCATGGCGCTGCCAAAGCTCGCGGGCAAGGACGTGCTGGAGCAGTGGGCTGTTGTCGGGGACACCTTCCCCGTTGGCTGCGCGCCGGCAGAGGATGCCGTGGTGTTCCCTGAGTCCTTCAAACAGAGCCCGGACTACCACCACCCGGTCTACGGATCCCAGAATGGGATCTACCAGCCTGGCTGTGGCATCTCCAAGCTCATGTTTTCATGGGGCCATGATGAGTACATGTACCAGATGCTGAAGTTCAATGGCTGCACGATCCCAGAGCACGGCCTCAACATGATCCGCCTCCACTCCTGCTACCCCTGGCATGACAAGGGCGCCTATGCTCAGTTTGAGGCCCCAGGAGATGCTGAAACCAAGAAGTGGGTCAAGGAGTTCAACAAATTCGACCTGTACTCCAAGGGCGACGCCGTCCCCGACGTCGAAACCCTGAAGCCCTACTATGCCACCTTGCTGAAGAAGTACAACCTCGACGGCAAGCTCCGCTGGTGAAGCTGAGTGCCTCGGGTGCTAGCGAGCACCCGCAAAGCAACACATCTGCCCGTTTCAAAGGGCGTTAACCGGCGGCGCGGCTCAAGGGAGCTACGCCTGCCTGCCGAAATCCATATCAAGTCCGGCTTTTGGCTGTGGTCACCCAGGGATAGTGAAGTTCCAGTCGCGCCCCCCCAAATTTGGTGCCGAATTCGCTGCAAGCTCCGCCTCGGGCGCCTCGAGCTATCAGCTCTTGAGGCGCCCTCGAGGCAGAAATCAATTCGCTCAATTCGCTTGCAACTGGCGTGCGGGTGACCCCTTTCCGGATGCGGCCGCAAGTGCGGCGAAATGTTCGGCCGATTTCTAGAGCCGAGCGACTTTTGCAAACTCTTCGCTAGCGGGGCCCTGTATAATGATACGGAGGCCTCGGTGTGTCTCCAAATATCCCCTCAACTCCAATGCAATACCCCGGCCACACGGCCATGCGTGCACACAGAGCCCTTTGTGGCGACCGTGGCAAATGGAGATCCACGCAGGAAAAGGACCCGAAGCCTTACCTAGGGCCACTTTTTGGCGGAGAGCCTGGTGCTTGGGCCCAGCAAAAGATCATATTCTTTCTGCAAAGGTGTGAGCCAGCCAATACTCGTTGCAACCAAAACTCACCAGATTCCATGTTTGGTGAAGCATACTGGTCTATGGTTCTTTTGGAAGGTACATGGGGAGATGAGCTCGAAGTTACCCACAAAAGCCACACAAGCCAGAAACTCGCGCGACGTTTCCCATGTCTTGGGCTGAGGTACGGCTGCTTGGGCTTCCAGAACAGCCGGTTCTACGTGCATGGCCCAGTGAGCGCTGTATCTTGAGGATCTTTCATTTGTGTAGGGGTTGGTTTCTTGGCACAGGAGCTCCTCCTAGCGGCCGTTCAAAAAAAAGGGTTGGTTCAAAAAGAAAAGGACAAGTTGGATCCCCGCATGTTAGCACATAGCCAAGTATCGCCTTTGTGATGCTGGAAAGCTGGCGAGGTGTTGCTTTAAGTTTCTTTAGCGGTCAGGCACTCTTGTCTCAACTGTCATTCCAGTGCTGTGCTCCTGCAGTCTGTGCTGCCGGATATTGTTGCAGTCATGAAACCACTTCACAGCTCCCAGTCAATAGAAAGGTTTCCCGACCAGATTCAAGATCCACTTCACCTGATCTACTGACGACTTTCACGTGTCTTGACTAGGAAAGAGCGGTGGACTGACCCTTAAGCACAAAGGAATCTGAATGAAGGGAATGGTTGGCGGGATGTGTGGTTGTTAAACCATATTCTGTACTTTGGAAGGTTCTTTTCCATGGAACGGTGTGGCATGATGAGAGGGCTCCCATTTTCGGCTTCTTTGAAAGGGACAACAAAAGGACCCCTTGGGCTTACCCCGTTTCGGGACAGACATGGAGGTTATTCATATGCTCTATGGCCCTATTGCTTCGTTTATATTCCCTTTGGAAGCTTTGTCCTTTGGAAGATTTGTTTGTTCAACTTTCCTACGGAAGGCTCATGTTTTCCCAACAGCTCAAAGCCTTGGGGGTCTTTGCAAGATTTCAGGGAGGGTTCCAGAGGGGGTTCCAGCTGTTGAAAATACCGGGGCTTACAAATTGGGTTTGACATTCCCCATTAAAAAAAAAAAAAACTCCCATTGCAAAATCCTTTTTGTCTGCGAAGGTTTGATGGAATGTCCGATCATATTTGATGGCAACAGTTCTGTTTTTTTGGAAGGTACCCCTTTTTCGGTGGTTTCAAAGAACACCAAACGAAAAACCCAGAATTGTGGAGGGTCCCCAAACGAAACGTAGGAAACAACCAACCATTTTTCTGCCTTGATCTCCCTTCCCTGTCTCGGAACGGCCTCGCCGAGGCAAAGCCGTTGGCAGCGCTGATCACGGCCAAAGGCCGAGAGGCCTTGCAGACGACGATCACGGCACCTGGGCTGAACTGTGATCCGTGATCTGTGGGGATTTGGGACAGGAACTGGCCTATGTGTTTTTTGGTTCTTTCGTTTTCCTTTTTTCTTCATTTTTTAATAAAATCGGTTTTCCTTTTATTTCCCTTGAAAACCAAGAGGAGGGTTCCCCCAAAAGCAGACAGACTCGAACGCAGGGGTCGGACGGTTGACATTTTTGTTTACCACAATGTTTGTGTGCTTGTCAACCCAATGCAAATGACGTATAGCCTCCATACCTCCAGAACCCACACCTGAACATTCCCTTTAGCCACTAATGACATAACGCATGTTACCCTTGCTGTATGGGACAGACGGTGACATGGATTGTGGTACACCAACCATTAGCCTTCTTGAAGAATTATTGTAGTGATGAGAATGCGCACTGAGCCTTCGCGCCGGACAAAATGATAAGGTTGTGTCCCCTCAGCGTTCCATGGCACCGATTGGAATACTGTAAACATACTGTTCGCCAGCTTGGGAGCAGGGCCTCATTTCAAGAGCACTTTTGCTCGAATCTTGAACAAAAACAATGTTGGTGCTAGTGGGCACTGGACTAGCCATTTTACTCTCCACTCTGCTCGCCCAGCCAATTCAACAACTGCAACCCCGCTCTGGAAGATTTGACATTTGACGCATGGGAGATGAACATTTTGAAGCGTCATCGCCTGGAATACTCCACAGGTGATTGTCAAAGTGGCAATGGAACAGTTGGCCAACCCAGGGTGCATAGTACATAGGTGTCCTTTTTGGGGGCGGTACCCTTCTGGTCGCTTTTGTTGATGGTTCTTTTTTTTACAGTGGTTGTAAAGGGAAACCACCACAGCCAAGTGGCAATGGAACAGTTGGCCAACGGGTACCGGTTCCTTCTTCAGAAGGCTCATTTGGCTGTGGTTGTCAAAACCAATGGTAGCATGTTGGTTGGTAGGCGAATTCACCACCCGAGCAAGCCGAGGTTGTGCAGCAGGAGCTGCAGCTGGATGTGGCCGGGATTCCCAGTGCAAGCTGGCTTGTTGGTGATGGGAGTGGTGGGAGAATGGGGGGCGGAGGGGGTTCTCAGGCCATTTCCTGTTGATGCAAGGGATGTTGAGGCCTATTTTTATTGGATACAAAGGGACCCCTCCCCCCCACCCACCCCATTGTGATAAAATAGTCGTGGGGATCTGTCCAACCATGACCCCAAATTGAGATAAACTAGTCATGGGGATCTCACTTTGGCATCACAGAAATGACTGTAGAGGGGGAAAACTGGAGCCCTAGGCATTTTACTTGGAGATTTGAGCTCCCTAGCTGTGTCCTTGTTAAGGATCGGCGCACGTTTAGGGGCGGGCCTAAAAGGGAATTCAGAGGGACACCAATTTGGGGGGTACCTTCTTTCCAAACGCGCCCTTCTAACAATGCACAATACCTCATCAGAGCAAAGATCCACTTCTTTGTCTTTTCCATTGCAATGGCCAGATTTGTGCTGCAAGGTAAGCCTGGCTGTGCGTAGAACATGGCCACAAAACTTCATGTCAGCTTGAAGACGCATTGACAGAAGTGTTTGGACGTTTCTTTCATGTGGAATTGGATTCGGGCATTGTGTCCCGACTCTCCAATTCTGCAGATGGCAGTCTCACACACACACACAACCAGGACTTCGACTTCTCCGGATGTGAGCTTCGATTGGGCGTAACTTGGAGGTGGGTACGTGTTGCATCCAACGCCATGCTCATACTGCGCATGAGCGGCCAAAACCCCTGTTGGACGATTGAGTAAAAGGTTCTAGTTAGTCCTTTGTCTAGTATTGTTTGGTATAGATGACCTGGTTGTTCTTGCAAACCCTGTAGAAGCAATCGTCACTATGCTTTGGGCGCCTCTTACGTTGCAGGATTTGCCTTTTCTGCAGCCTTGGTCAAAAGCCCCGTTTCTGGTGCAGGCAAGAACCCATGTGCCGAGATAGGCGCATTCGCCAGCAAACGTGAGGCACAAAGGCAGCGGTAGCTTCAGAAAGCAGTGTCGCTCAGAACATGAAAAGAGTCGTAGTTTTAAGGAGGCGCAATGGTGCAATCTTAGTCTCCAGTAGTATCTGATAGTGGTGCCTTGGGCCCCCAGACTGACGGACAGAACTTCAGCAATCCATGGGCAACTTGAGCTCGCAAACTCTGACAAAGCTGCGATCGGGGGCCAAGTGGTTGCCTTGCCGCGTGTGTGCCAATGTAAGGTGTATGGAGACACGGACTCCGTCTTCGTGAATGCGAAGACGCAAGACTATCAGCAGGCACCAGCTTTGACCAGTGGAGAGCCGAGGTTTTGAGTTTTGGGCGGAATTGGGCGGGCATTGAGCGCAAAGTTTTGAAGGTGCTGGTGTATCTTTTCTTTGGGCAACCCCTCTTAAAGCAGCACAAGAAACCAACCATGTCGGGGTCCCCCCCCCATTTTTGGGGACAAGCCCATTTGGGTGTGTCTTTTTGAGGGGAACCCAAAACATGGGTGGTTTTACTTTGTGGGCTTCCCTTCAATAAACCCACAAAAGGGGGTACCCTCCAAAAAAGACGCAGCCTTTTAGCAAAGCGGACTGCAAACCGAGTGCTTCAGGCCATGCAGGTCGGGGAACAGATCAAGCGCTCCGTGAACAAGAGGCGTGGTGTTCGGCTTTTTGCGGGTCCATAGTAACTTGGTGGCTCCAGCCATCCCCTTAGCGATTTAGCTTTTTAGTGTTTAGTGGTAGTTTTCATTGAGCCCAAAGGTTCCAATTTTAGCTGGGGATCTGAGGGCAGGTAAGACATCCGAGCGAGCTCCCCGGACGGTGGCTTCCAAGAGACAATTCCCACAAGTAAATTTCCATGTCCATTCTTTCGCGGGACTCGGATCTTAGAAAACCAAAAACCCTGGGGGAAATGGATCTGGTTTTTGAAAAGAATGGCTGAAAAGAATGGTTGGAGTCAACCCCTAGAAAGTTTGAGCACTCAACATGTTCATTTTGAGTTTTGAGGGATGTTGGGCCTGTGCAGTGCTTCTGCTTGGCGAATGGGCGACTTGGCGCTTCGCGCCAGATACAAGCGGCTTGAGATTGAGATCGACGGAGTGTTTGTCTGACACCAAGCAATTGCACATGTGCACGGTAGTGGCATCAAACCTTTTCTCAGGGAACCTTTGGGAATTACGGAATGCTTGTCGCAAACTGTTCGTGACTTGAGGTTCGGTCAAACCAAAATCACTATGGTCAATTTGGGTTCGAGACTTGGGGGACTCTTTAAATTTAAGCCACAAAAGCCACCCATGTTCATTGCAGATTCAGCATATCCTGGCCGTGGTTCACAGCTTTGCCAAATCGGGGTGTCTTGACCCACGGAATGGTTGTTTCCCTTCTCCCTTTAAAAGCCAAGAAGGGTACCCGCCAAAAAGAAAACGAAAGCCACCGAGCCCAACCTCATCTGCCTTCCAGCCCACGAGGCCCGTCTGATGCTGCTCAAGAAGAAGAAGTATGCCGCGCTCAAGGCGCGCGGCTGGGCTCGCGGCTGGGCACACGTCCTGTCCAAAGGGTCTCAAAAGTCGGGGTGTTAGTGTGGATGGACGAAAACCTGCACCACCTAAGAAACCCTGGAATGATGATTCGCCTGTAAATACCAACAAACCATGGTTTCCCATGGTTTCAACGTGGTGCAGGATTTTGTCCATCCACAGTAGTGTAGGGGCTGCTCCTTGAAGTGCCAGAGGCCCAGAGGCCCCGAATTGGAGGCGCTCTCTCCGCCAGGACATGATGTTGGTGTGCTTTGGTACTTTAGACGCCAAATCACGGGTGAACAACTCCCATGGGTTTGTCTTTTTTGAGGCGCTTCTGTGGTAGAGGAGAACCAAATGGAACACCTCAGTTTTGTGTTTGGTCCCTTAAAAAGAGACACACCCATCTGGCGAGGGTTCCACCGAAAAGGGGGTCATGTTCGAGAGCCATGAAGGCGCTTTACTTGGGGATGTTCTTGTCTTATTTCAGGCGTTGGAATGGGAGAGTTTGCATGAGAACCCTGATAAAAAGCAAGGAGTTAGGTCCAACGGCAAGGTACAAGGTGAAACCAAATCAAGCAAAAGACATGGGAAGTTCGGCCTAATGTTGAGCCCGGATTCACATTCTCTCAGTTGGGTTTAAGGAACGTCCGGGCTCTGCGAGTCCCTTCTTTCAGGCTCACCGGGTCCCCTGATTCACACCGGTGAGACCATCGGGGGATGGGGTGGGGTTGGGAGTTGCCACTCGACTTTACATTTAGTGACGGATGTCGCTCAAAGTGTGCAAATCCAAGTCTTGAGCAATGGTCGATATTCGCCTGGCATGTGTTTTGCTCAGGTTGTCAGCTGGGGTGAGAAGCCCACGTTTGAGACAGAGTTCAAAGGCAAGGTGCTGCATGTGAGTGAGCGACTCTTTGAACTTACTGCTTGCAAAAGGCATTGCTCGAGCCCAAACATGCACGTCATGCAGGCTTTGTTGAGGCCACCATTCATTTTACTAGTCCAGATTGTGACCAATGAACTGCTGCTAGTTCAGACCTTCGTGATAGGTATCGGAAGGGACGCAACTCGAGAGTCGGCGGCTGCAACAACCAGCCCAAATGAACGAACAATGAAGCACCAAATCAACAAAACAAGCAAACACAAGAACAAACAATACAAACCCACGCGCACACACACACACATCAACAAACCGCACGGACACATACGAACACATACAGCACAAGCGCACGCAAGAACCCAGAACAAAAGCGCACACGGACACACGGCGAGCAAGCAATCATGCACAAATACAAACACAGACACGCGCACAAGCACACACACACAAACACACAAAACAAGCAAGCAAGCAAAGCAAGCCAGCAAGCCAGCAAGCAAGCCAGCAAGCAACCAAATGCAAACAGACAGACAGGCAAGCAGACTGAACAACCAAACACCCAAACAAACAACCAAAGACATACACACACACAGCCACAGACACAACAAAAACCGCAAACACAAACACAAACAAACGCACACCAAACGAACAAACAAACAAACAAACAAACAAACAAGCAAGCAAGCAAGCAAGCAAGCAAACAAACAAACAATCAAACAAACAAACAAACGAGCAAACAAACAAACAACCGAAAACAATCGAAAACAAGCGAAAACAAACAACAAACAAAACACAAGCAAACACAAACCAACACAAACAAACAAACAAACAAACAAACAAACAAACAAACAAACAAACAAACAAACAAACAAACAAACAAACAAACAAACAAACAAACAAACAAACAAACAAACAAACAAACAAACAAACAAACACACCAAGCAAGCAAGCAAGCAAGCAAGCAAGCAAGCAAGCAAGCAAGCAAGCAAAGCAAGCAAGCAAGCAAGCAAGCAAGCAAGCAAGCAAGCAAGCAAGCAAGCAAGCAAGCAAGCAAGCAAGCGAAGCGAGCGAGCGAGCGAGCGAGCGAGCGAGCGCGAGCGAAGCGAGCGAGCGAGCGAGCAAGCGAGCGAGCGAGCGAGCGAGCGAGCGAGCGAAGCGAGCGAGCGAGCGAGCAAGCAAACACACAAGCAAGCAAGCAAGCAAGCAAACACACAAACAAACGCAAACGCACAAACAAACGCAAACACACACAGACAAACAACCAAACAAACAAACAAGCAAACACAAATACACAAACAAACAAACAAATAAACAAACAAACAAACAAACAATCAAACACAAAAGACACAAACAAACAAATAAACAAACAAAGAAACAAACGAGCGAACGAACACGCAAACAAACAAACCAACAAGCAACGAGCTGGCAAGCAAACAAACAAACAAGTTGACAAGCAATCAAGCAAACACACAAATAAGTTGACAAGCAAGCAAGCAAACCAGGACACAAGCAAGCAAACAAACAAGTTGACAAGCAAACAAGTTGGCAAGCAAACAGGTTGACAAGCAAACAAGCAAACAAGCAACCAAGCAACCAAGCAAACAAGCAAACAAACAAACAAAAGATCGAACGAACAAACAAGC